TTTGTATTTTAGTAGAGACAGTGTTTCACCTTGTTAGCCAGGCTGATCTTGAACTCCTGACCTCAGGTGATCCACCAGCCTCTGCCTCCCAAAGCACTGGGATTACAGGAGTGAGCCACCACGCCTGGCCTCTTCTCTATTTTTTTTTTCACTGCAATTACTCTTATCTAATTTTGAGTTGTATCAAATTCTCAATCCAGTTAAGATTCAAAATTACATATCAGCTTGCTAGTCTAGCGCTTTTCCTTACTCCTCTCCCTGAAACGTCCTCAATTCTGTTTCTATTCTGCGTGGCATTTTCCCCACTCCCGTGGACCGGTGCCCAGGGCCCCATACCCCCCAAAACCCTTCAACTAGTAATTAACTAATTTAACTGTGTATATAACATGTAGAAGAACACTTTTCTGCCAGTAAAAACATTTTCTTTCAAGAAATAGGTAGCAGCTGTTTTCATAAATCCTTCCGGGCCAGACATGGTGGTTCTCAGCTGTAATCCCAGCACTTTGGGAGGCCGAGGTGGGTGGGTCACCTGAGGCCAGGAGTTTCAGATAAGCCTGGCCAACATGGCAAAACCCCGTCTTTACCAAAAGGACAAAACTTAGCCCAGTGTGGTGTGGTAGGTGCTTGTAATCCCAGCTACTCAGGAGGCTGAAGCAAAGAATCGCTTGAATACAGGAGACAAAGATTACAGTGAGCCAACGTTGCACCACTGCGCTCCAGCCTGGGCAACAAGAGTGAATCTCTGTCTCAAAAACAAACAAACAAACAAACAAACAAACAAACAAGCAAAAACTCTTCTCTATATGAATTGAGCCTACAATTATCTTGCTCTTAGAATTTCTGTAGCGCTTATGCACACATAAAGTGTGCGAATTCACACTTGGTTCTGGGGACTCCTTTCAGGAATGCCAGCTAAGATGTGGCCCCTAAACCAGGGGACGTGCCTCGAGTGCCTCTTCAGTCCTCCTACAGTGTGTAATAGAGTGCTGCTTCTGCAGCATTGAGCAGCAGTCCTTGAGAGGGTAGAGTTTGGAATTTGATCTTTGCAGACTTGAGTTTTAATCCTGACTCTGTAACCTATAAGCACCATAAGAAAGGTACTCAAGCTGTCTATCTCAGGTGTCCAGTGTGGATAGTACCCATTTTACAGGGTGCGATGGTTAATTTCAGGTGTCCACGTGGCTGCCTTAAGGAATACATCAGGAATTGGTAAAGCATTGTTTCTGAGTGAGCCCGCAGGTATTCCCAGGAAGATTGGTGTGAGCTGGTGGACAGAGTGAGGAAGATGCCTTTAGTAGAGACAGGCCCCATCCAATTCTCTGAGGCCCAGATAGAAGAAACAGGGCAGAGGAAAGGCGCTTTCCTCCCTTTCTCTCCTGGAGCTGGGACTCTTCTTTTCCTGCCCGTGGACACCACAACTGCAGGCTCTTTTCATACTGAGAGTTACACCATCCACTTCCCTGGTTCTGAGGCTTTTGGATGTGAACGGAGTCACACTCCTGGCATCCCAGGGGCTCCAGCTTGCAGAAAGCCTGTGCTGAGACTTTTCACCCTCCAATTCCTTTAATAAATCTGCTCTCATCCATCTTTGCTGATATCCTGTTGGTGGTGTCTCTCAAGAGCCCCGATTAATCCATAGGGGTGATGTGAGGGAGCAATGAGGTCGTGCATGGGGAGCAGGCAGCATTTCACAGCCTGCCTGACACATGCCCATGTCCTATAGGCTGCAGCTGCAGCTATTCTAGAGCTTAGTGTCAGGGCTCAAAACAGTGGAAGGCCTTGCCTCCGGCACCCAGCCCTCGTGTTGATCTTTTCCTGTCATTTTTCAATTCCAGAGTGTTTTCTGGAGAGCAATTCGGTGTCCCAGGTAGTATTGACGAGGGGCTAAAATCAATCCTTACCTGTGGGAATCTGAAGCTGGGAGTGAGCAAAGGTGAGAAAGTTCTCAGGAGTCAGGAGCAGAGGAAGCTGCATGGTCAAGGGGAATCGACATGAGCCTTCCTGCCGTGTGTTCTGTTTCCTGCGGTCTAATGAGAAAGAGACATATGTATGTCTACATCATCTCATACTTAGCTCTTTAATATGTACAAGGTGTTTTCAAATTTTCCCACCGACTGTCCTTGACAGCTGAGAACATCAAGATTACCTGTTGTTGGTGACTGTTGTCAAGGGGATCCGCCCTTTAGGGACACAGGAAGATTTGCCTAAAAACGTCAGGAAGCTTGATATCTATTATTTTACTATAAAAGTCAACTGCAGTTTTGCTGATGTATTACTTCTTTACTCATTCCAATGTTTATTTTAAGCCTGAGCTTGTGGGTAGTTGGAGAAGGAGGGAAAATATTTAACACTCTTATTAACTAATTTTACTGTGTATTTAACATGTAGAATAAAGAAAGACTTAAATGAAGATGTAGTATTTGTGAATGCTCCAACAAACTAAAAGATTATTTAAATTATTGATTTCTGATTGAACCATTTATTGTCTATAATGAATTAAAAGTTTGTGAAAATAAATTCAGTGACCTTTGGCATCTATAATTTCAAAACCGTAGTAATTTTTCAAAGCTGAAAATGCCTGAAACACCAGTCTGCCAATCATCACAATAAAACATGAAGCCCCAGTGAAAGAGCTAGTCAGGATGGGTTCCCAATAAATAGCAGTTGAAGCTCCAACTACCATCAGGTGATGAGAAAACACGGTGTAAGGGCCACGTGTAATTTTTTAAATGCCAAAAGAATCGTCACAGACCGTTTTGGCTTGCAGAGCTTGAATGGCAATATGGCATTAAAATAAGGTACACAAAATTAATTATTGAATGTAATTTTGAAACACACTGCTAAAGTGCTCCCTAATATTCAACAAGCCCAAAAGTGACCACTGACAAGACTTCGTTTATTGCAGTTTTTATGCTGTCATTATGGAAAAACTGTAGCAGAAAGTTCACCAACCTCCCTTTGGAAAGAGACGTACAACCACGGCCAATAGGCTTTCCTAAAGGACAGCAGGAGCTTTTCACTGGGACTTGTTTCCCGTCCATAACATACAAATAGTTATTGTTCGGGGTCAATACAGCCTTGCAAATACACAGGCTTTGAGTTATACCAAGCATGCTCGTCCTTATATGGTATGTCCATATATGAAATACAAAAGAAATACACCACAAAATGATGGTGTTCAGGACATGGGGGAAGGCCCTGTTTCTGTGGTACAGCGTAACACATGGAAACTGCCTATAAAGCCAGTGCTTCACAACCCACGCCCTTATTACATGGAAATTCACGTTTCCATAATCACATAAAAGTTTAATGTGCTATTCATTATAAGATTAAAGGTTATGAGTTATTCTGTGCATGTAATTATTGACAACTGGAAATTAAATCGCGATAATTTTTTACTCTATTCCTTTTAAAATGATAATTTTCTTTCTCCTTTTGCCTGAGAACCATGCTTCGACAATCATAACACCTTACCTTCTAAAGTAAATGATCACAAATAGAATATATATTTTATATATGATATATAGTTATATTTATACATTATATAACAATATAAATATATATTTATATTTTATCTTTGTATTGATAAATTTATATAAAATATAAATATTTATATATATAACCTATATATGAAATCTAGCCACATAAACCTAAATATATAAAAATAATATATAAATATACATATATAGAGGTAATTATATACAAATATATAAAGATAAATACAAATCATATATATATATACATGCACACATTAGGAATACACAGGTCTTTTCTGTATATAGCAAAGACCTGTGTGTTTATATAAAAACCCATGTATAAAAATATTTACAAATATGTATTTTATATATATATACACATTAGGAATACAGTAGTAGCAAATTCTACTATATATAGAAAAGACCTGTGCATTTATATAACTATATATGAATGTAGATTACACATATAGACATTACAAATACACAGGTCTTTTCTACACATAGCAAGTTCTATATTATTCTCTCACTGCAATGATGGACAACTGGGTATTGAGTAGTGAAAAGTTTTGTAGTTTATTCTTCTTAAAGTGGTTATTTTCTTTCTCTTTTTGCCTGTGAACCATGCTTCAACAATCATAACGCCTTACCTTCTAAAATAAATGATTATATATAACATATAAGTATGTTTTATATATAATATAAATATTTCTATATATAATCTATATGTATATATGAAGAAGTTAATATATAAATATATAGTAGGTTCTAGTATATATAGAAAAAACGTGTATTTCTAATGTATGTAGACATCTGTATTTATAGACATATAATCCATATTTGTATTTATATATTTTATACATATATAATCTATATATTTGTAAATAATATAGTTGTATATATTTCATTTACTTATATATTTGTATATAGTAAGTTCTACTATATATAGAAAAGACCTGTGTATTTCTAATGTATGGAAATATGAAATGTACTTCTTGTCTCCTCAGTTGCAAAAATAAAATAGCTTTTTTCAAATAGATTTTACTCTACTTTGAATTTTTCTTCTTAATTATATTAGATTGTAGGGAGGGGACGCTGAAAGGAAAGAGGATTCTTCCATCGGTTTCTATGAATGAAAAGGTACTTTAACAATGAAACCTAAGTAGGTAGAATCTGATTCTTGGTACTTGATGTATGAGCTAGCAAGATTGCATGAAGAAAGAAGCCTTACAAGACGAGGAGTCATCCTGTGAAGGGGAAATTTGTCTCCAGTGCTCAGCTCTGATGCAGTCCTTATCCTCCTATCTGGCTGTGACCTGTCTCTCTGACATCAGCCTCGTAGGACCCGACTTCCTACCCCCTCCACACACCACCCATTTTTCCCTCCGCCCCATACACCACCTCTTCCTTTCTCCCTTTTCCCCCCTCCCCCCACACATCACCTCTCCCTCCCTCCCTCCCTCCCTCCCTCCCTCCTTCCCTCCCTCCCCACCATCAGAGAACACAGTCACTGGGATCATTTTGCAGGACATTCGATTTATTGACATTAGCAAGGGGGCACCAACCCCCCGCCCCCCGCCACTGGTGAGACCTCTGAGGTCTCCTGGCAACTGGGCCTGAACTTAGTCGCTGCTGACTGACGAGGTGGAGAAGTTGAGCACGTCACTCGGTGGATCCGACGAGCTGGAGATGGTGATTACGTCACTCGGTGGATCAGACGAGCTGGAGATGGTGATTACGTCACTCAGTGGCTCCTCCAGCTGGGTCTCCTGGTTCAGTGGGTCCTCCAGCTGGGTCTCCTGGCTCAGTGGGTCGGGCTCGCTCACTGGCTTCTCCTTCACAGGCACTTGGCATGGAGGAAGCTCCTGGCTCTGTGGCTTGCTGGGCCCAGGTGTTGCTGGCCCGCTCCCTGCCTCAGGGGCTCCCACGGCTGCCATCTTTTCCCCAGCGGCACGTTTCTTCCTGCCTCTCCCTCCGGGACCTGCTTTTCCTCTCTTGCCCTCCTTGGGCATCTGGGCCTTCTCCTTCACAGGCACTTGGCACGGAGGAAGCTCCTGGCTCCGTGGCTTGCTGGGCCCAGGTGTTGCTGGCCCGCTCCCTGCCTCAGGGGCTCCCACGGCTGCCATCGTTTCCCCAGCGGCAGGTTTCTTCCTGCCTCTCCCTCCCGGACCTGCTTTTCCTCTCTTGCCCTCCTTGGGCATCTGGGGCTTCTCCTTCACAGGCACTTGGCACGGAGGAAGCTCCTGGCTCCGTGGCTTGCTGGGCCCGGGTGGTGCTGGCCCACTCCCTGCCTCAGGGGCTCCCACGGCTGCCATCTTTTCCCCAGCGGCACGTTTCTTCCTGCCTCTCCCTCCGGGACCTGCTTTTCCTCTCTTGCCCTCCTTGGGGATCTGGGGCTTCTCCTTCACAGGCACTTGGCACGGAGGAAGCTCCTGGCTCCGTGGCTTGCTGGGCCCAGGTGTTGCTGGCCTGCTCCCTGCCTCAGGGGCTCCCACGGCTGCCATCGTTTCCCCAGCGGCACGTTTCTTCCTGCCTCTCCCTCCCGGACCTGCTTTTCCTCTCTTGCCCTCCTTGGGCATCTGGGGCTTCTCCTTCACAGGCACTTGGCACGGAGGAAGCTCCTGGCTCCGTGGCTTGCTGGGCCCGGGTGGTGCTGGCCCACTCCCTGCCTCAGGGGCTCCCACGGCTGCCATCTTTTCCCCAGCGGCACGTTTCTTCATGCCTCTCCGTCCCGGACCTGCTTTTCCTCTCTTGCCCTCCTTGGGCATCTGGAAGGACAACAGGGATATAGATGACAGTGGGGCTCTGTCAGGGTCAGGGGAGAGGATGGAGGAGGCTTGGAACAGGGACGTTTCCTGAGAAGTGGTGAGGGCCGGGCTGGGGGTTGTGTCAGGTGAGGACAGGGCAGGAATCTTGAGGAAGGATTCAAGGGGAAGAAGAGGAGGAGCTCGGGTGGGTCACTCACCTTCTTCGGGGTACTGGGACTCGCCTCAGAAGAGGACTTCCTCTTTCGCGTCTCCCCGGCCTTGGCCGGCGGTCCCGAAGCTCTCTTCTTTGGCGCCATCTTGCTCAACTCAGCGTCTCCAACGTCAATGTCAGGCTGCCTGGTCTACGTGTACGTGCCCCTTTCGTCCACGACAATGAGGCAACCACGTTTCTGAGCTTTGATTGGTCAGCATGCCACCACCCAGCCAATGGTAGCCCTGTGCGGGAAGGACGGGCTTAGACGTCACACAGCACCGCCGGGACATGGCCGAAGAAGTGTGGGGGTGGGGTGGCATTTGATGAGGAAGGCAGGATGCTATGATTGGAGAAAGGGAGATTATGGTTAGCACTCCTAAAGATGGTTCCCAACTGACATGTCACCCCACTTCACCTCCCCATGTTCAATTTTGGCAGATCACTTGGCACGGGAGGGTGTTTCCTCCAGATGTTTCCCCAGGACCCCCCCATTCAGTGGTACATTCTGTTCCCTCCCACCTTCCATCATTACCCAGTTTCTGTATGACCTACCTCAACCTCCTCCATGCTAACTGGGACAGGTGTAAGGCTCTGTGAAGATGGCAATCATCTCCCTCTCCTACACATTCCTCTGCTGATCCTCGAGGACCATTCACTTCTTGGATGCTGTGAAAGAACGTATCCATTTCCCTTTCTTATCCCAGTGCCCACAGAGTACCCCTGAATGTTTCATTTTTATGGTTTAAAGCACTGGCTTCAGGGGGTCAAGCTCAGCAAACACACTCTCTCTGCTGCATATCTGTATCAAGCTGGGTTCCTCAGAGAAGGAGAAACTAACCCAACAGGGTATTGTGTTTGTGTGTGTGTGTGTTTGTGTGTGTGTGTGTGTGTGTGTGTAATATACATCATAAACATCTACTATCATATCACATTTGTTTCTGAATGATATTATGTATATGATACGGTTTACTGTAAGGAATGGTCACACATTCACACAATGTGGCGGTCTGGAAGGCTGAAATATGTAGCGCAGGTGAGCAGTGTGGAATCTAAAAGCTTCTGCACAGTTGACAGTCAACAAAACTAAAAGGCAGCCTATGGTTTGGGAGTTTTGTGTGCTCCCTCTGGGTTTATTTGGCAGCAGGTGGGACATACCTGGGTCCTCTTTTGTAAACTCAGGGTGGAATAAGGAAGCCCCATCTATCTTCCAGGACCATTCTAAGGATGCCTCGCATGTATTGCTCAGTCATGACAGTGATTATTATTTTTCGGTTAGTATCTAGCCCACTGCCTGGACCATGGTTGGTGCCCAAAAAATAATTTTTGAATGAATAATTTAATTTGTTATTAATACGTTTTTTTTTATCCTCCTTAACCTTTTTTTTTTTTTTTTTGGAGACAGAGTCTTGCTTTCTTTTCCAGGCTGAAGTGCAGTGGCGTGATCTTAGTTCACTGCAGCCTCCACCTCCCGTGTTCAGTTATTCTGCCTTAGCCTTCTGAGTAGCTGGGACTACTGGCACATGCCACCACATCTGGCTAACTTTTGTATTTTAGTAGAGACAGTGTTTCACCTTGTTAGCCAGGCTGATCTTGAACTCCTGACCTCAGGTGATCCACCAGCCTCTGCCTCCCAAATCACTGGGATTACAGGAGTGAGCCACCACGCCTGGCCTCTTCTCTATTTTTTTTTTTTCACTGCAATTACTCTTATCTAATTTTGAGTTGTATCAAATTCTCAATCCAGTTAAGATTCAAAATTACATATCAGCTTGCTAGTCTAGCGCTTTTCCTTACTCCTCTTTCTGAAACGTCCTCAATTCTGTTTCTATTCTGCGTGGCATTTTCTCCACTCCCGTGGACCGGTGTCCAGGGCCCCATACCCCCCAAAACCCTTCAACTAGTTATTAACTAATTTGACTGTGTATATAACATGTAGAAGAACACTTTTCTGCCAGTAAAAACATTTTCTTTCAAGAAATAGGTAACAGCTGTTTTCATAAATCCTTCCGGGCCAGACGTGGTGGTTCTCACCTGTAATCCCAGCACTTTGGGAGGCCGAGGTGGGTAGGTCACCTGAGGACAGGAGTTCCAGACAAGCCTGGCCCACATGGCAAAACCCCGTCTTTGCCAAAAGTACAAAAATTAGCCCAGTGTTGTGTGGCATATGCTTGTAATCCCAGCTACTCTGGAGGCTGAAGCAAAGAATCGCTTGAATACAGGAGACAAAGATTACAGTGAGCCAACATTGCACCACTGCGCTCCAGCCTGGGCAACAAGAGTGAATCTCTGTCTCAAAAACAACAACAACAACAACAACAACAACAACAAAAACTCTTCTCCATATGAATTGAGCCTACAATTATCTTGCTCTTAGAATTTCTGTAGCGCTTATGCACACATAAAGTGTGCGAATTCACACTTGTTTCTGGGGACTCCTTTCAGGAATGCCAGCTAAGATGTGGCCCCTAAACCAGGGGACGTGCCTCGAGTGCCTCTTCAGTCCTCCTGCAGTGTGTAATACAGTGCTGCTTCTGCAGCATTGAGCAGCAGTCCTTGAGAGGGTAGAGTTTGGAATTTGATCTTTGCAGACTTGAGTTTTAATCCTGACTCTGTAACCTATAAGCACCATAAGAAAGGTACTCAAGCTGTCTATCTCAGGTGTCCAGTGTGGGTAGTACCCATTTTACAGGGTGTGATGGTTAGTTTCAGGTGTCCACGTGGCTGCCTTAAGGAATACATCAGGAATTGGTAAAGCATTGTTTCTGAGTGAGCCCGCAGGTATTCCCAGGAAGATTGGTGTGAGCTGGTGGACAGAGTGAGGAAGATGCCTTTAGTAGAGACAGGCCCCATCCAATTCTCTGAGGCCCAGATAGAAGAAACAGGGCAGAGCAAAGGCGCTTTCCTCCCTTTCTCTCCTGGAGCTGGGACTCTCCTTTTCCTGCCCGTGGACACCACAACTGCAGGCTCTTTTCATACTGAGAGTTACACCATCCACTTCCCTGGTTCTGAGGCTTTTGGATGTGAACGGAGGCACACTCCTGGGATCCCAAGGGCTCCAGCTAGCAGACAGCCTGTCCTGAGACTTTTCACCCTCCAATTCCTTTAATAAATCTGCTCTCATCCATCTTTGCTGATATCCTGTTGGTGGTGTCTCTCAAGAGCCCCGATTAATCCATAGGGGTGATGTGAGGGAGCAGTGAGGTCGTGCGTGGGGAGCATTTCACAGCCTGCCTGACACATGCCCATGTCCTATAGGCTGGAGCTGCAGTTATTCTAGAACTCAGTGTCAGGGTTCAAAGCAGTGGAAGGCCTTGCCTCCGGCACCCAGCCATCATGTTGATCTTTTTCCATCATTTTTCAATTCCAGAGTGTTTTCTGAGAGCAATTCTGTGTCTCAGGTAGTACTAACGAGGGGTTAAAATCAATCCGTACCTGTGGGAATCTGAAGCTGGGAATGAGCAAAGGTGGGAAAGTTCTCAGGTATCAGGAGCAGAGAAAGCTGCATGGTCAAGGGGAATCGACATGGGCCATCCTGCCGTGTGTTCTGTTTCCTGCAGTTTAATGGGAAAGAGACATATGTATGTATACATCATCTCATGCTTAGCTCTTTAATATGTACAAGGTGTTTTCAGATGTTCCCACCGACTGTCCTCGACAGCTGAGAACATCAAGATTACCTGTTTCTGGTGACTATTGTCAAGGGGATCCGCCCTTTAGGGACACAGGAAGATTTGCCTAAAAACATCAGTCAGCTAGATATCTATTATTTTATTATAAAAGTCAACTACAGTTTTGCTGATGTATTACTTCTTTACTTATTCCACTGTTTATTTTAAGCCTGAGCTTGTGGGTAGTTGGAGAAAGAGAAAAAATGTTTAAAACTCTTATTAACTAATTCAACTGTGTATATAACATGTAGAATAAACAAAAACTTATAGGAAGATGTAGTATTTATTAGTGTTCCGAAAAGTTAAAAGATTATTTAAATTGTTGATTTCTGATTAAACCACTTATTGTCTATAATGAATTATAACAGTCTGCGAAAATAAATTCTGTGACATTTTTGCATCTATAATTTCAAAACATAATCACTTTCTAAGGCTAAAAATGCCCAAAACACGAGTCTGCCAATCATCACAATACAACATGAATCCCAGTGAAAGAGCTAGTCAGGATGGCTTCCCTACAAATAGCAACTGAAGCTCCAACCACTATGAAATGGTGAAAGTAACATGGTTTAAGTGTCATGGATATTTTTAAATGCCAAAATAATGATCACAGACTGTTTTGGCTTGCAGAACTTGAATGAAAATATGGCATTAAAATAAGGTGCATGAAATGGATTCTTGAATGTAATTTTGAAACACACTGCTAACGTGATCCCTAATATACACCAAACCCCAAAGTGACCACTGACAAGACTCTGTTTATTGCCGTTTTTACGCTGTCGTTATGGAAAAACTGTAGCAGAAAGTTCACCAATCTACCTTTGGAAAGAGACATACACCCATGGCCAATAGGCTTTCCTAAAAGACAGCAGGAGCTTTTCATTCCGACTTGTTTCCAGTCCATAACATACAAATAGTTATTGTTCAGGGTCAATACAGCCTTGCAAATACACAGGCTTTGAGTTATACCAAGCATGCTCGTCCTTATATCGTATGTCCATATATGAAATACAAAAGAAATATACCACAAAATGATGGTGTTCGGGACATGGGGCAAGGCCCTGTTTCTGTGGTACAGCGTCCTAGGTTTCATAGGGTTCCGTAGGAGGCAGCTACAAGTTCAACATACAAAGCTCTGAAATCCCTTCCTAAGCTAATGAAGTGAAGTCCTGACAGCACCAAGGACAGGGATGCAACATAATTCATTTATTTTTTCTCAAAGGATGCTGCCAGCCCTTCAAGCCACCATTAATTTTGGCATCTTTAAAGCGGTAGGAACAATCTGTGTAACAAATGAAAACTGCCTGTAAAGTCAGTGCTTTACACCTCAAACCTTTATTATATGAAAATTCATATTTTCATAATCACATTAACATTAAAGTTTAATGTGCTATTCATTATAAGATTAAAGGGAATGAATTATTCTGTCTGTGTAACAAATAGAA